TTGTGATGAATATTGTGTGTAATATTCATCTGGGCTTCAGAGTGTATTTTGAGTTGGACTAGAAAGGAGGATAGGCTAACCATATCCTGATAGTTTAATTTGAAGTATATTTCTCACTGCTTGTATAGCACCAATATTGTCAATAAAGAATCTTATTGAAATATTCGACTCACAGTTCTTTCGCAAGTTAGGACAACAATATGAATTTGAAAATGTAGAAAAACTGGAAAAAATACAGAATAATTATTTTAGATTGAGAAGACATTTTTGTTATTGGACATAAAAGAAGTCCTTAAACAGAATGTTTTAAATCTGCCAGCCCAAAATTTATAAAGAAAATTTGAGATGTAAAACAATTTTTAAGGCCATTTCGAGCAAAACACCATTGAATACCATGAATTAAATCTGCACTATTTCTAGGAGAAAATGATCATCAGCATGTTCAAACTGTTTTTAAATGGGTTTGAACTCAATTTTTTCAAAGTTTGAATTTTATTTTGGAATTTACTTCAATAATTCATCCAAGAGCGTGTTGCTCAGAACAAAGAGTTTTAAAATTAGGCATTGATTTAGATTCCTTATGGGAGGGTAGTTTGCTGGTTAATTATTTAAAAAGGGATTTAAGCCCAAAGCAAAACATGTTGCAAATATATTTTGCAGTGAGCATAACCCATGGCTAAGTTAAAATTTAAATCCTCAGTTATAAAACAACAATCTACAGCTTTAAAACATCAATCCACGACTGAGTTAACTGTGCAACTTATAAAGGGGTTATGCTCAAAGCAGGAACATTTTCAACAAATTTTTGCTTTGATCGTAGCCCCCTTGCGGTAGCCATGATAAGTGGGTTATGCTTGAAACAAACATTCTTTGAACATGTGTTTCTTTGTGCATAAACCAGTGAAATGCAATTTTTGAAATTAGATTGATGTTTCAAATAAGCTGTGGATTGGTGTTTTGAGCCTATGGACTAAAATTTGAATTGCAGGAATTATGCTCAGGCAAAGTACATTTTTTAGGCTTTTTGCTGTGAGCATAACCCCTTTTTAAACAAACTTTTAAAACATACAATACAACACTCTCCCTGAAAATTGACATCGAGGCGTATTTGTAAAAATTTTGTTCTGAGGAAAACCTGCTCAGGTGTAATGTTTTAATGCATTTCAACCTGCCATTCACATAGATAAGGAAGAAATTAAATTGGAGTTTTCCCCGAAAAACGTTATCTGTTCTGTTGAAAGTTTATCTCCCAATTCTTGTTCACGGCACGGTACACTATCGGGGTGATCGAGACTTGATGTTCCTGTTGTGTTTCGAAGTGACAGCAGCACAACTGCGCAAAAGTCGGGCGTGTTCAAGCATTTCCTTCGTTCAAAATTGTGCATGCCTTCCTGGAAAGTCGTCTTCCTGGTTCAAGCTTATTTCGGCTGTCAGTTCGACCTTGTGCGTTTTTTTTTCTGCTCTGGTGAGCATCAAGAAATAATGCACGAGAGTCAAGTGTCACGCGGATCACTTCTGCTGTGATGAATTCACGTACATTTTTTCGAGTCAATTTGTACGATTTACTGAAGAGCATCCGAAGCAAACAAGCAGAATAGTTCATCAAATATTCCTTCCTTGAATTGTCTCCAATTTCACAGTTTTTTCCATAACGGTTTTGTGGGTTCTTTCATGAAAATTCTCATGAAATTCTTTCGCAATGGTTTTTTCATTTTAAATAGTGACTATAGTGTCATACAGACGCACCGACCGGACAACAATTCAATTCAGAAACAATGAGAACTGAAAATAATCTGACGTAAACCCGTAACATCTGGAACAATGCCTAGAAATACAGACACTTATCCAACCTGTTATCCTAAATTTGCAGAGCAAATAAAAAGAGTTGGTGAGTCTTAAGAAAATTATCTTACTGTTATGTCTAACAGGAAGTTTTTCTACCAACCTCAAATCTTTAGATAACAAGTTTGTAGATCTTGGACTTTTTAAAGGTGTTCTCTGCGTCCTTTGTGGGCCAGAAGGATTTTTAGTAGTTTAAATAAAGAAACTGCCAAGATCTTGTTTGAGAGGCAGTGACAATATATTTCAGTTCACACAATGTAGCCTGCAAGCGTTTGGACACAAATGCTGACAATGGAAAGCATGCAAGCTAGTTTAAAGAGACACAATGGAAAGGACAGTGGGCTGACCAGCTCTCTGTCCATATTCCATAAACACTCACACACGCGCATGTGGGAGGGCAGCAGGCTGCTTGGCTTGCTGGACTCCAAATCAAAACAGGTGTGATCTTTTCCAAATCTATGCATGAGTTTCCCCATCACCAGATTGGGCTGGTGATGCAGCAGAGAAAAAAAAAAAAGAGAGGAAACCGGGCTAATGAGCCAGCAAGGGCTTTATAAAAAATACTGGATCACAAACCTTAAAAAAAGCAGTGAAATTTTTTAATATTTCTTTTCAGCACATTGAGCAAATTTTGGTTCTACAGTATTCATTATGCCGTGAATTTGATGTTTCCCGATCGTTTTTCCCCAGTGTAATTTCTTGCGTACATATATTTGCACCAAAACGAGCAAACGGTGGGGCCTGAAGATGTGGACGTCATTAGTGCTTTTACCTTGACCCTGTATTTGTCAGGGTGGGCTAATAAAAGTGAACCAATTTTTGACTTCAAATAGCACAGTAGAAAATTAAGCTTTGGCAATAAAAAAAAACACCAAATGAAAGCTTATTCAATTCTCTTTAGATAAGATAGGAAGTTTTGTGCTTCCAAGTGCCACATAATGGTTACAAAAACCACTGGAATGAAACTTATTTTCATCCAGTCGGGCCACTTTTACACTAAGCTGCTGTTCTGGAGTGCTGTTTGCAAATCTAAAGGAAATACAGGATTAAATAATTTAACCAGAAAACTTCATGCTGTCTTGGAGAGCCTGCACATGCATCCAAAATTTGGAAGGAGGGGGTGAGAAGGGGAAAGGAAATTGGCAAGATACCATGCTGCAGGGCTCCAGTCAGGCATCCCTGCTGCTGCGCACTGACCTCATGACTCCTGGTGCCCCACCAGGGTTGTTAATTGCATTGTGGGGAACATTTGCTTCTTTAGATGCCCTTCAGTCTTAATTAGCAAACTTTTTAGCCATTCTGAGCATATATATGCAAATCTAAAAAATGAGGAAAAAATCAGCCTGCTTTTCATCATGAATTGGAGAAATTTTGTGATGGATTTTTTCAAGTCTTTGTGCACATATAATTAGCTCAATTTGCTCAAGCAATATTAAATTCCTGAAAAATTAAATTTATAAACTTTTAAAGAAAATGTGTGTGATTGCCTGCATGTATTTAGGCAGAATTTCTTTTTAGTTTCAAGTTCACTGAACCCTTGGTTAACAAACTGCTCAGTCAACAAACTTTTAATTCAAGAAACTCTTGAATTGAAAAAAATTCCTCAGTTGACAAACCATAATTTGGCTGAAAGAGTATTCTCTGGGGGAAATCCCTAATTTTGAAATTCAAAATGCCATTCCAAGTCTGAAATGTATGATGAAATTCAAGTGCAAAGAATTCACCAATGCAGTATAAAAATGCTTCCCTTCTGGCACTCCTATGAAGTTGAACCTTAATAACTCAAACCTTTCCAAGTTGAAGTTTTTTGAGTCCCCATTTTTATTTTTTGGAAAAAATGCATAAGAAACCCACCTAACTCAAAGGCTTTCCTTCTTAAATCCCCTCAGTCAAATATCCAAAGACCATTAGGATTTTATTTTTGTGACACAGGAAAAGAAAAAAGCAATAAAAAGTGATTTCATGCATTTGAAAAAAAAATGATAATTGCGTGTATGAGCCCTTGCCTCAAATTTCAGCAGACTGCCAACTCTTTAGAAAAGGAATTTGAGTCCCAGAATAATACCATTTACCATTTTCTGAAATCCTTTCAAGTTTCCCTCAACAAAACTAAGTGTTTCCCTGACTCAAAATCTCCAAAACTCGAAACCTCCCAAGTTTAAAACCTCTCTTAAGTCAATTGTTTTGGCTGGTCCCTTATGAAATTTGACTTCTTCAAATTCAAAAGGTTTGAATGTACAGTATGTGCAATCTTGTGCTTTAGACTTTGTTTCAGCTACACTATTCATATACTGTATGCTCTTCTGCAACAGATTTTGCTTTTCTTTTCTTGATTTAAGTAATTTTTCAATTATTAGAAAGGCCAACTTGATTTTTACTTGCAGCATTAAAAAATAAATTTTATTTTCCCCTGACATGCATCCTGCAATGTGTTTTTCTGGATGCGATGTTTCTGAGTGTACATTTTTCTTTTTTCATCTGCACTACTTCCATGTAACACTGTAAAAACAGGTTGGGCTCATATAAGATGCAGCGACAACAAATTCTGGGGACAGCAGGGATGGCCTTGCATTTATTTTCAACGCTGTTCTATTGCCTCTTGTAATTGATTTATTCCTGTGTGAAATCTGTAGGAAAATAAAATTTATTTAGCAAACTTTTTGGTCAATGAACTTTTGTCTGCGACCAATTACGTTTTTTAACCAAAGGTTCACTGTACAGTATTCTCAAGTGGAGTCATCCGCATGCAAAAGCATTTTTATGTGGGGGTCCCACTGAAACTGCTGTAGCTTGTATTAACTATTGACATTGCAGCCATACTTAAAATTCAGCTTTGTGTCCTACTTCATTTCTTTCCTTTTTCAAAACAGGTGATGTTCAACTGTAATCTGTGTTGTGGACTGTTGCGTCAGCAGCAGGTCGGGCTGTTATCAGGGTAAACGGATTCGTTATCATCAGTTGCAGCTTATCTCGCTGCACAACGGAAATGTAGAGCGAAGACAAGATGGGAAGTCCGAGTGTTATCACATCTGCAGAGCCACGGAGAATGAAAATGCGCCCACATTATGAGCGACAAACGTTGTACGCATCACAATAATAAGCACCGACTGCACGAAACGCGAAGCGTCGGGAGAATTATTGGGGAAGATATCGGCGTGTCCCCGACAACGTCCGTGTCGGACTACGTGCTGGTGATTTTATCAAAGTGATACGTGTCATACGGCATCAGGTGCATATCCTGAGTGTATGTCCATATAGACACCACCATCGATATAAAGAGCAGCACGTGGCATCGTGTACTATGTGGATGATCAGGAGAGTCATCAAGAGGACGAGCAGCAGCAGCAGCAGTCGACGTAGTTGCTTCCTGCTCGTCCTCGTCGGCTCTGCCTTGTCCTGGGTGACGCTGTACACGACACTGGCTGTGGTTTCGAGAGCCAGGGTTTGCTGCCTGCTGCCGAGCTTTGGCTTGTCTGCTCATTATGATGACAACGACAATTACAATAATCCACAGCCCAGGCAACTGCAGCAGCAGCACGGGGACTCGCAGCAGTTGCTGGCGGGGCAGAACTCATCGCCGACTTCCTCGTCGTCTTCTCGACCAGAGTCCATGTTCCAGGGTACAAGGTTTTCTTTTGCTATTTTTTCGGGCCTCGTTTTCCTTCATTTATTTCATTGCACATTCCACTAAGATATAGGTGTAGTTGTACGGGCTTATACTGAAAAGTTTCCTTCATGCACCTTTACGACGGCTCATCATGGGTGAGCTGCTATTGCTCACATTTAATCCTTTTTGTCTGGGACAGAGCTGGGATCTATGAGGGTTGTCACGCATGAATATAGCCCTGGGTTTTTTCAAAGTGGGAACCACTGCGAAAACAATTTTATGATTAGGCCTGTGAAGATCTAAGGCCCAGGGAATTTTTTTCAGATTTTTCAAAAAAAAAAAACAAATACAATTTTCGGCAATGCAATTTTGTGATATTTGCTAAAACCAAAATACATTAGGCCAGCATAAAAAATATTCTGGCACCACTACTGGATGAAAAGCAGCTCATTGCCCTCTTACAAGGGGTTACAGTATAATTGTAATTTGCGATCTTCCCATGTTTTGCCCTCCATTCGTTCAAATGGGCTTATTTTCGATTTTAGGTACCACGTTTTCAATCATGCAGGGTGTTCCTCTGCTGAAGAAAATTATTCCAAAAATTGAAAGAATCCATATACTGAATAAAATAAAGTCTGCTGCCTTACCGATGGAAAAAAATAGATAAGACTGAAATAAGGTCGCATTCCTGCGTCTGCCTACCGCGTACTTTGAAGTACAATATAAGTAATTTTCCGTTTTGACGGACGTCAGAAGGGAAGTCAATTTTGTTGAAGCTTCAGTAATATTCATGCATGAAGCGATCGGACATTCAATGCAACAAGACGCACATCGATTTTTGTCCTCCTATTATTTGGCAAGCTTGGAAATCCCTGCATGGGTCTAAAGTGCGCTGTAGTTCTCCGCAGTGACTTGATAATGCGACCTTTGAAATAATTGGGCTGGGAATAATATGATCTTAGGCTGAAGTGAAGGTTCAATTTTATTGCGTCATATCTGCCACAAAAAAACTCGAAGCGCTGTGACTCTTGCTTGATGCGCATGCATTATTTTTGCAAGAGGCTTAATTAATCTGCCCAAAAATTGAAAAAATTGAAACCCAAAACTAAATATTCAACGTTCCGTGCTTACTCATCTGTGGTGTGTATTTTCTTCTGCAATCGATACTTTCACATGCGCGAAAATTAAACTGGGATATCACTTCTAACTCTAAGCAAGCTTTTCCGGCGATATGGAATCTCTCTGGATGAAGGCTCAAACTACTGTACTTTATTGCATGAAGTCCACATTGTAAAATGAATATCTGAACTGCTCCGCACTAAACTAAAGCTTCTTTTTCTTTCCCTTACTTTCCTGAAACCTGGTTGACGTGCTTCAGGTTTTCTCACCTGCTATTTTTCCCAGCGGAAACTTACCTGGTTATTTATCATGGTTGACGTGTATGTTTTCTTCATTACCTTGATCAGAGTTGCTCAAGTCATGGCTTACTTCGTTAGCTCGTATAGTTTTAAAGTTTCTGTAATTTTCAAAAATGTTCTATGATTATATTTTGTTCGGTACAAATAAAAACGAAGTCCATTTTGCATTTTTCAAAAAGCTATTTTCATTTCCGATTTTTTTTTCTTTCCTCTTCAAAAAAAATCATCCAAAGCCTGGTTTCTGCTTGTGATATGCTTTTCATTACCTTGACATTTTAGGAGACTTCTGTCATTTTTTTTCATTTTCTGCATTAAGGTCGGAAGGCAGGATAAGGATAGACTAGTGTAGGCGATGCATAGCACAATCAGAAATCAGGCTGTGGATGATTTTTTGGAGCGAAAAAAAAAAAAACAGAAATGAAAAGTTCTTTTGGAAAAATGCGAATTGATTTTGTTACTTGTTTGTGGCAAGCAAAATAATCATTGAAAATTACAAAAAAATGTAGGAAATATTGTTCTAAAAAAAAAATATTTTCATTGTTTTGTCTAGAATGCCACATTTTGAAAAGCGTGTAACATGGATGGAAAATGCTTGGCAAAACTGAAACGTTTTCACTCACTGTCTTGCAGTGAATATAAAAACATTTAAAAAAATCTCAGAACCTTAAATTTTGAATAGCTAAATTTCAAGTTTTTTTGAAAGTGGTACCTATATAGTCAAGAAATACCCAAGGTCAATCAGAAATGGGAAAACCCTCCCATAAATTGAATGATAACGCACCAAACGAATAAGAAGAAAAAAAGTAAGAGCTTTGGACGCTTTTTCCTGTAGTAGGTCGGCTCAGATTTCCAACTTTCAATATAGGCCAGGCCAGGTCAGGTCGGCAAGGCACAGTCACCTCTTCATTTTCGGAAAGTTATCACATATATTTCCTTTCGTCCATTATACTTCAACGCAGTTCGTGAGATCAAACCCGACGATAAGCCAGAAGTAGTCATTTAGGGTAGGCAGTACGAATAACAGCTTGAACGCGGTTTATATACCTGCCAAAACCTGACACGAAGGATTATTCCTGTTTGCATGCTTTTATTTTCTTTTTTCTTTTTGAAAAACCATCATGCAGGCAAATGGGCAAATATAGTTATATACAGTACATTGCAATACAGCAGTTCATCGCCCCAGAAATGGCACCAGCAGCATGAGTTGCATGTTGCTGAGCGTGATTGGCCATCTGTGAAAACGATAAACATCCCTTATATGTACATGCACGAGGCTTTCCTCACTCACTCACTCAGGTCTCGTGTTTTATTGACTCTTCTTATAACGCTTCAATTATGAATCAGCACACGCAGAGAGATTAATCATTGATGGCACACCTGGCAATTTTGCGGTCGTCGTAATGAACTCAGTATCGCGAGCATATAGGAAAGTTGTGCAGAAAAGCAGTATTGTATCCGTTTGCACAGTATGTATAGTTCTCCTGCGCAGTTATTTTCCGATATGAATGGACGACCCGTGATGAAAAGGTTGGCTGTTATCCATTAAATTGTCGGATATGTTGTTCCTCGTGCGGACGTAATTTATCATTTACAACCTTCCTCCGTTCGAAATACTGCATCAACAATCAATGCCGTCGTTTTTACGTCGCACGCTAATGAGCCGATCCCGGAGATAATTAAAAATTCATGCACGAGAAAACGCGCTGATGCTACACTGCGCCCATTTTTTCACAGGTCAGAAAATATTCATCACCTGGGCTACTAAAAAAAAAAAAAAGGGGCGTTCTTCGCGGGACTTGCAAAAAATGAATGATGCAAATAGTGTACCGTAGGAGCAATAAGCAATCTTTTCATCAGTCAACATTGCGCAAAAAATCATGTTTCATCTCAAGTGAGTTAAATGAGTCGTTGAAATGTGGAAAACAGCAAACGAAAAAAATCGTAAAAATTAAGCTGTCAATTGAGAGGAAAGTTGGCTCGTGGTTCTCCATCATAAGAGCACCTGTTAAATGGTGATGACATAACTAATAGCGAAGGTCCATCTGAATCAGGTTCTGATTCTCCGCCGTGTAGCAAGTGTTTCATCCTCCATGCTGCAACATTTAAAAAAATATACTAGGCACTTTCGATTTTTTTGCACAACTATACCGGCAATGTAATGGAGAAATTTTTCACTCACGCAAATATAGTACTCATAGGTTCATTTCAAACTCGACTGCTGCTGGGTATTTTCTCCGATTCAACTTGACGATGATCTGAAACTGCGGAAGATATGACGATGAATAAGGGAAGGAAAATATATTTATTTCAGTTCACCTGCATGCGTGCTTGTTCTATGGTTGAAATTGCATGAACTGAAAATCGATGCATGCACGTGCTATCGATCGTGTCCCAGACACAGCAGCATGTACGTATACATGGCAATTTTTATCGCTGCGAAAGCAAAGTGCTAACCGCTGTACACTTTCCTCATATTGCACAAGGAAATAACAAGGGAACTCAATCATCGTCCATTCCTCCTGCGAGGATTCTCACAGATGTTCTCGGATTATAAAAAGAAATGGGATATTATTCGGCTGAAAAGAAAAAAATTACTGTTGGGAAAGACCGAACAATTTTATCGGCACAGGAAAAAATTCAGCCCTCTGTTTGACGCTCGGTATTTTCAGAAAATTATTTTGTAAAATAAGTCACCGTGGCAGGTTCGTATACTCTCCACTCTCAAGGTGATCAAAAGTTGTAGACTATATACAGCAGTACTAGGCAGAAAATCAAGTAATTTCAGAAGCATTGCTTGGCATCGTTGGCATGAATTCTATTCTATTGAAAAATTATCAATCTTGCCATAATAATACAGTATACAAATTAAAAGGATGGCTTCTTCCTGCCAATTACATTTAAAAAGGCATTTTCGATAGACCGCCAGTAGCACCAAAAAAGTCATCATTGGCGTATAAATAATGGCGTCTTATTATACAGTATCGAGGTTTGACTGTACAGTATTTACCAGACCGATTGTTCCATTCCATCCTGCAGAGTACGGACAACTTTTCGAAACGGAGCTGCTGCGGGACATTGAGAAGTTTGGGAAGAAGCGTTTGCCGGCGTACGGTTTCCCGCCGGCCAACGTGGGGATCCTGTTCAACGCATCGGTGCAGAGGATCCTCTGCGAGATGAAGCGAGTCCCTCCTTTCCTGCTCACGGACGAGACCCCGCCGTTCGACGCGAATCCCCTGGGCAAGTACTTGCACCACCAAGGACCCATGCTGAATGGGACCACGTTCAAGACGTGTGCCTGTGTGTCCAGCTCGGGACTGCTCAAGGGCAAGAAGTTGGGCAAATTCATCGGTCAGTTGCGCAGTTGCATATATACATTATACAGTAGCTTACTAGCTATACCTAATAATATAGAACCTGCAGCATCAGACTTCCGCGATTCGGAATGACCTTCACTACGGGTATACAGTACTGTGCTGAACTGTAAAGAACTTCAAAAATGTTCTGTTGTAGACAAATTACGTTTCATTTCATTGGAATCTACTTTAATTTTTCCTCTCTATGCCAAATTCTTTTTCCTCCCTAGCTCTCATGGTTTATATAAGACAACTTGCAGCTAATGTGGAAACTCACACAAACCAAAGTGAAAACTCATCAAAAGAGAGTTCTCAACTTTTTTTCAATTTATTATTCTTTCGTTCATTTCCCTATGCTCGATAAGGAAGTGATAAAATTTTTGCAATTTTTTTGTAAAAAGTAGAAAAGTGAATGAGCGACTAACTTGATCATATATGCTACCTATATTCTGAAATATACCGGAAAAACTGTCAAGATGTGTTCTTACGCTTCTTTCTTCCTTAAAATTGCATCAACATTCATGGATTAATTTGTTCTTGGCCCACTTCCCAATATTGAAATAATTACTGCTGTTTTGCTGGAGGATCCCATATACCCAAAAACAAATATTATAAAATCTAATCATGTCTTTCGAATGCAGTATTTGCGACAAAATAAAACAGGAAATTTTTAAATTGGGCTTACTATTTAAATTTTTTCATGTCCAAGTTGGAAGCGTGATAACTCTGTATTAAAATTTAAATTGGTGAGCAAAATGTAATTTTTAAAAATATATCTAAGCAAACGGTCATGTGCTCGACCTCTAATTATAGGATATAGGTATCAATATCGGAGTTGTTGCCTTTTTTGCTCAAGTTGCTGCGTGCATTGTTGATAAATCTGCTCCAGTCCAAATTCCAGAGTTTAAAATTCGATTCATGTGCTATGGACGCGAATTTCTATGCATTCATTAACAATAATACTGATGTACAATTTATTTCCAATCGTATACAACTGTCATTCGAAAGATGCCAATTTTTTTCAAAAATCTGCGATTACATCAGATGATTCATCCTTCGAATGTGAAACAAGTGTTTACGTAAATTGAGGGTTACATACTCGTATTTCATCTAGCTGATCCGCTCTTTTCTTGAAAATACTGTACTGGTTTTCAATGTCTGTTCGCGGGAAAAAACATTCCGTGCATTCGAAGCCTCTTTATTGGAAACCTACATGAAATGCGTTGTTCCACCAGTAAATAAAATCCTGAGCGTTTATTTTGGCGAGGGTGAAAGAAAATACGGTACTTTATTGTCAAATGTATCAATCACGCTCCGTCAGTGCATAAGTACATGCTGAAAAAGTGACCCCCGATTTTCTGAAGAAAAAAAAAAAGAATGTTGTACTGTATACCTATAGATTCCCATGACGTTGTGCTGAGGATGAACTTGGCCCCCGTGGTCGGCTACGAAGAAGACGTGGGTTCCAAAACCACTATTCGAATCCTCAACAACTCAGTGCTGCGGTGGATCGACCGGAAGAACATCCCGGCCAAGAAGAAGCCCTGGGAATTCGCAGACTCGGTCAATGCCACTCTTCTGGTCTGGGAGGCGTGTGCAGGCCGTGGACCCTTCACAGACGTGAGGATAATCACCCACCTTCCATTTACTCGTACTGCATTTCCAATATTCATCAATTGTAAGGCAATTTGTGTTTACTGATTCGTCGAGATGAATGAAGAAGCTCTCGAATGCAGTATGTTTCTGTATATTGCACTGCACCTGCGTTATTATTGTTGAGACTGCTTGTAAAGATATATTTTGCCGGTTTGTCTAACTACAGTGAGACCCCCATACATGCGGACACCTTGACCTACTGACAATTCGACATAGGGACACTTATTTTCTAATAAAAAAGGCTCAACATGAGGACACTGACTCAACATAAGGACATTTTGTGATGAAATTGCAAATACATTTCAGGCCAAATTACAAGAAACAGATATTTCCAACCCTAAAATTGATGGAAGAAAAGTTCTTTGGCATTTCTCTCATCAATTTATCATCCAAATACCTAATTTTAAAAAATTACTTGCAGCATAGAGGGACTTCCTTCCCTCTTTTTCACTTGAATTTTATTTTTGCAGCTAGAGAATGCCAACATTTCAATGTACTTTACAGAGGTATCAGAGGTCAATTCCCCAAATGTCATTATCGTGATGAAATATCTTGATTGGAATCAGTTTAAATTGGTAGACAATTTTTTTCATTGAATTATGGTGAGTATTTTCTATGTAAAACACCAATTAAAAATTATATATTGTAAGTCTATGGGAAAATGAGACTTGACTTGAGGACATTTTGACTTAGGTCAAAGGAACAGGGACACTCTTGATGCACCAATTACGTCCGCATCTTGGGGTCTCACTGTGCTTACGAAATACATCACCAGCTATAGATTTCACTGCGATAGGACGTTCTGTAAAATATAGTGGTATAGGGGCAATAAATAGAGCAGCTATAGAAAAGTCCGCAATCTTCATCATATCATGTATATATGATGTATGTGGGAAAACATGGTCATTCAATGCTGCCTTATTATCCTTCCTTTTGCTTGTTATTTCAGTGCCTGGTCGACTACCTCACCGAGAAGATAAAGAAGACTCAGGGAGAGTCGATGCAGTCGTTCTTCCGATGGAGGAAGCAGAACATGGACAGGGAGCTGTACTACTTGAACCCTGACTGGCTCTGGAGCCTGTGGGACCTTCTGCAGCTCCACACGCCTGCGTCCATCGTCGGACATGTCCCCACCACTGGATTCATCGGTATTTACAGTCCATACTGATGCTGTACTAAAAATTCAATGAATTTGATATTGAATAAGGTCCGGATATTTTATCTCTGTCTGCTGGAAGCAATGAAAATGCATGCGCATATCTCATCTCGTCAAATCTTGATTTGACGTAAAAATGATGTGCTGCTGGTCTCGAGCATGCGAAATGCATTTGAGTGAATCTCTATATAATTACAGTAACTCCATCATTTCAGCTCATCTTGTCCCATATAATGTTAGGTAGAACGTTTTTTTCGATGAGATTCGAGCCAATTATCAAGGCTTGCGCATTTCAGGAAAAATTGATCGCGGCCCCTTCTTCGTCTTTTTGTTAGCCTTTGCTATCATAAGGAAGCATTTCAATCCTTGCATAAATTATTCAAATGCATTTTTACCTTGAAAGCGTATTGAGGAGATCCTTCATTTCAAGTTTTGTTCGACAAGTTATTATTTCATTCTGATGCAAGTTAAACTCCTGCTGTCCATCTTATCTGTCCATTTATGCGCATAAAAAAATTATGATGTTTTCGCGATAGAACCATACTGATGACGACGATCGCGCATCTTACTTATTGCCAGCAATTTTTTTCTTTTATCAACTAGTATAGACTGAAAATCTTTGATTTTTCTTTATTTTGGGGGAATATCATGGAACATCTCGTAATTGAGGAACATAAATACAGTAGAATTCTGATAAAAGAAATCTGGTAAAAAATAATAAAAGTTTTATTAATCCTAGAAGTGAAGGCTTATAGTAGGTGCCATTGAAAAAAAATCTTGTTTTAACAAACTCGTTTTAGGCTGCAACCTCGATGTAGCACATTTTGGTTCCTAATTTTGTGCATAGATGATGGGAGTTATTTTGATAAATGGCATGAATAAGGAAGAAATTGAACAGGTCCAACAGTCCAACTTTATTGAAAAAAACAAAACTTTCTTCAGAGAAAATGCAGTGTTAAAAATGCAAAACAAGACATATCTCTTGAAAATTAGTAAAGTTAACGTGAGAACATATGCCTCTCTTCAAACAGACTGTTGGAAGAATTGTTCCATATTTGAAAGATGAAATATCAATGAACAAGTTGAATCAGAAGGAAGTATTTCCCCAAATGAACTTTTGTTTCGTTTTAATTTTTATGACAAGTTGCGCTTTAATAGATGGACAGGTTCAGTAAAAGAGGAAGCACTGTATATGTTGAAAACACTTCCACCTTCATGTCATCATAGATAGAAGGGATTCATAACCGATCTTGAGTTATGTCAAGTATAGGTGCTCTTTAAAGTATGTAATGTCCATTTACCAAACGATTTCAGTCTGAAATGTGTCAGAAATCACAAATCTTCATGCAAGGAATTTCTTGTCGATAGAGTTCTCTTTGTAATGACCCTGGGAGTGTTAAATTGACATCAATATGTCACCCCATGTGCGCAAGCAGTTGTTTCTGTACTAGTACGTGGGCTGTTTGCATTCTCTCCTTATTCGTCTTAAAGATGATGATGATGATGATGATGATGTTGATGCGGAGAATAAGCCTGAGTCTTTCGAATCATCTCTGAAAAAAAAAAAAAAAAAAAAAAGATTCGCCCTCCTGAAGTTGATTTCTGCTACATGAACGGGTACCACCCGAAAAAGGCTGAGATCACCATGTTGCTGGGCATGAACGTGGCCAGCTTGGACCAAGTCTTCAGAGATGGTTACTCCACCATCCCAGGTGATTTGATTCTATACCGGCTTATTGTACAGTACTGTACTTGTATGTGCGAGTCCAATATTTTTTGTGCTACATGCAGTGGGACCTCAACATGCAGATGCAGAGCACATACAGGGTATATATAGGTATAACAGATCAGACAATTCAACTTGGGCCGGGACACTTATTGAAACTGAACAGATTAGCTCCCCAGACATCCGACAGTGACGCTAATAATAAGGGACACTTATCCTGTACACATCTGGAGATATTGAAATAATTTTTATTTAAATTTTATTCAAGTTTTTGGGAACTTTTCCCTAGAATTTATCCCCAAGTCCCACGCGCATCCTATTTTTCTGCCTCAATTTCTAGAAAAATGGTGTGCATGCTGGTGCTTCGAATGAATACGGTAAATTTGATATCATGAAAGTCTATGGGAAAACAATGTCAAACTCAAAGCAAAGGTTCAACTTTTAATAACAGGTGGTACCTTCCAGAATTTGATCATTGTGCAACTTGCCAGTCAAATTTGCTGGGTGGCTAATTTAAAATTTGACCTCTGCTGCACAAATAACTTGCAGAAAGACACAAAACATCAAATTTCATGTAAAAAACATGCCATTTGACATTTTCTCACAATCCAACTGCTTTGCAATTTGGCCCTATTCTGGCAATGTATTAAGGTCAAATTTCAGGGTACCCGATGTATGTCCACATCTCAGGGTCCTACTGCATTTGCATTGCGCAGCAATTATTGTTGTATGTCCAGCATTTACTGTGTCTCCATTTTCTTTTTGCTGTTATAGGATTGGCGAACCTACGTTGCAATGCGGATAATGGCCGGTGATTATGGGGATTTCTTCCCAAAATGACAAGACTTGTATAAAATACTGCGTGATTCCTTCCCACTGATGCTGGTTGTTGTTGTTACACTGTTGCTTCATTATAATGTTGGACGGACACAACTCGTCAGAGTCCGTCGTCTAGTTTTCTGCTGGTCGCTCGTCGTTGATTTTGTGCATGTGTCCATGTGGTGTATCTGCCAGCTGGGACTTCCTTTTATGAATCCATCGTCGGACATGTCCCCACCACTGGATTCATCGGTATTTACAGTCCATACTGATGCTGTACTAAAAATTCAATGAATTTGATATTGAATAAGGTCCGGATATTTTATCTCTGTCTGCTGGAAGCAATGAAAATGCATGCGCATATCTCATCTCGTCAAATCTTGATTTGACGTAAAATGATTTGCTGGTCTCGAGCGTGTGAAATGTATTTAAGTGAATCTCTAGAATTACAGTAACTCCCTCATTTCTGCTCATCTTGTCCCATATATTAGTTTAGAACGTTTTGTTCGATGAGATTCGAGCCAATTATCAAGGTTTGCGCATTTCAGGAAAAATTGATCGCGGCACCTTATTTTTATTTTTGTTAGCCTTTGCTATAATAAAGACACAATTCAATCATTCTAACATAAATTATTCAAATGCATTTTACCTTGAAGGAGTACTGAGGAGATCCTTCGTTTAAACTTTCGTTTGAGAAGTTATTATTCGATTCTGATGCAAATTAAACTCCTGCTGTCCGCCATCTTATCTGTCCATTTATGCGCAGAAAAAAATTATGATGTTTTCGCGATAGAACCATACTGATGACGACGATCGCGCATCTTACTTATTGCCAGCAATTTTTTTTCTTTTATCAACTAGTATAGACTGAAAATCTTTGATTTTTCTTTATTTTGGGGGAATATCATGGAACATCTCGTAATTGAGGAACATAAATACAGTAGAATTCTGATAAAAGAAATCTGGTAAAAAAATAATAAAAATTTTATTAATCCTAGAAGTGAAGGCTTATAGTAGGCGCCATTGAAAAAAAATCTTGTTTTAACAAACTCGTTTTAGGCTGCAACCTAGATGTAGCACATTTTGATCCCTAATTTTGATCATAGATGATGGGAGTTATTTTGATAAATGGCATAAATAAGGAAGAAATTGAACAGGTCCAACAGTCCAACTTTATTGAAAAAAACAAAACTTTCTTCAGAGAGAATGCAGTGTTAAAAATGCAAAACAAGACATATAACTTGAAAATTAGTTCAGTTAACGTGAGAACATATGCCTCTCTTCAAACAAACTGTTGGAAGAATTGTTCCATATTTGAAAGATCAAATATTATTGTATAAGTTGAAGCAGGAGGAAGTTTTTCCCCAGAATGAACTTTTGTTTCGTTTTAATTTTTAAGACAAGTTGCGCTTCAATAGATACACCGGTTCAGTAAAAGGGGAAGTACTGTATATGTTGAAAACACTTCCACCTCATGTCATCATAGAGAGAAGGGATTCATAACCGATCTTGAGTTATGTCAAATATAGGTGCTCTTTAAAGTATGTAAGGTCCCTTTACCAAACGATTGCAGTCCGAAATGTGTCAGAAATCACAAATCTTCACACAAGGAATTTCTTGTCCAGAGAGTTCTCTTTGTAATGACCCTGGGAGTTTTAAATTGACAATATTTCACTGCATATGCGCAAGCAGTTGTTTCTGTACTAGTGGGCTGTTTGCATTCTTTCCTTATCCACCTTGATGATGATGATGTTGTTGATGGGGAAAATAAGCCTGAGTCTTTCGAATCATCTCTGAAATAAAAAAAAAAGGTTTCGCCTTCCTGATGCACTTTTGCGATGAAGTGAATGTCTTCGAACTGATCCCGTCCGTCGACTACCGAGAGCGACAGCCGTGTTACTACTACGACGACAAGCAGTCTGATTTCTGCTACATGAACGGGTACCACCCGAAAAAGGCTGAGATCACCATGTTGCTGGGCATGAACGTGGCCAGCTTGGACCAAGTCTTCAGAGATGGTTACTCCACCATCCCAGGTGATTTGATTGTATACCGGCTTATTGTACAGTACTGTACTTGTATGTGCGAGTCCAATATTTTTTGTGCTACATGCAGTGGGACCTCAACATGCAGATGCCCTGACATACAGGGTAAATATAGGTATAGCAGATAAGACAATTCAACTTGGGCCGGGACACTTATTGAAACTGAACAGATTAGCTCCCCAGACATCCGACAGTGACGCTAATAATAAGGGACACTTATCCTATACACATCTGGAGATATTAAATAATTTTATTTTTATTTTATTTGAGTTTTTGGAAATTTTTCCCTAACATTTATCCCCAAGTACCACGCGCATCCATTTTTTCTGCCTAAATTTCTAGAAAATTGGCGTGCATGCTTGTGCTTCGAATGAATACGGTAAATTTGATCTCATGAAAGTCTATGCTCTATGCCGAAAACAATATCAAACTCAAAGACACGGTTCAAGTTCTAATCACAGGTTTTACATCCCAGAATTTAATCATTGTACAACTTGCCAGTCAAATTTGCTGGGTGTCTAATGTATCATTCGACATCTGCTGCACAACTAACCTGCAGAAAGACAAAAAACATCAAATTCCATGTACAAAACATACCATTTGACATTTTCTCACAACTGCTTTGCAATTTGGCCCATATTCCATCAATGTATTATGGCCAAATTGCAGGGTGCCCAATGTATGACTACATCTCAGGGTCCCACTGCATTTGCATTGCGCAGCAATTATTGTGGTCATCCGCCAGTTGGTCAAATCACAGTTGCGCACCCGCCAGTTGTCAAGCGCCAGTTGGTCTAACCGCCAGCCAGGGCAGTCCTTGGCCTTGCCAATCCCCAGTCCACCAAACCGCAGTTTGGTGGGCTGGGGATTGGCAAGGCCAAGAACTGCCCTGGCTGGCGGTTGGACCGACCGGCACTTGACGACCGGTGGTTATGCGCAACCATGAATTGACAAACTGGCGGCCGACCAGACAGGTGTATCTCCAGCATTTACTCAATACTGTGTCTCCATTTCATTTTTGCTGTTATAGGATTGGCGAACCTACGTTGCAATGCGGATAATGGCCGGTGATTATGGGGATTTCTTCCCAAAATGACAAGACTTATATAAAATACTGCGTGATTCCTTCCCACTGCTGGTTGTTGTTGTTACACTGTTGTTTCATTATAATGTTGGACGGACACAACTCGTCAGAGTCCGTCGTCTAGTTTTCTGCTGGTCGCTCGTCGTTGATTTTGTGCATGTGTCCATGTGGTGTATCTGCCAGCTGGGACTTCCTTTTATGAATTTGAGGCGGATTGTGATTCGGTGGAGACGTGGTGGTGTTGTGGTGCCATCAATCCACGGTGATACGTGGCACCCGCTGGTTTCCACCCTCTGTGTTCCCGCTTTGTATACTGAACCGGAACAATGCTGCTTTCCTCGTTTTTGGTTGTCGTCATCAATATGCCAAAATGCAGCATTTTGAGTGAAGAACTTGCCTGATTGACCTGAGTGCGATTTTCAGAGTTGTTTTTCTATGCACTATCGTGAGACGTTCCAAGAACTCACCAGTGTAGCGAGTGGTATGCAGAACAATAAATGCAACACTTTTCTTCACTTTGGTATTCCTCCATATTATTAACCAATTATCTGCGCCAAATTCCCCCGCGAGTCACGGCACCCATTATGCTTCAATTCCATTTATTTACTCATTCAATAGTAGATGCGTTGGGGAATTTCTGTTCGACAATTCTTCAATTGGGAAGTTGGTAGCACGGTGGCATTTGAAATTTCAACTGGATTCCCAAATGAGTCTAAGAAACGGCCCCCTCTCTTAATACTGCCTTAAAAGAGTCCGTCAAAAAATCTGTGATACCCAGTTGTGCACAACTGAATGAGAAAGTGGATCCAGCTACATTACAGCACGGAGAGCCCTGGAAGGCTACATGTTGTTTGCTTGTTTTTCTTTCTAACTGTTGAAGTTATTTAGTGATCAGATCAGAACAGAAATTTGGATCAAAATTCAAGAATTTATTTCTCCTCAATGATCAAGTCTCTTATCTTGAGAGAATGTAGAACTGAAGAATACTAAATTATCATTCTAGATGTAGCTCATTTGTTGATCTTGCCACGTTCATTTCTCAGTAAATTATTACTTCGGGTAATTTTTAGGTACTTTAGGGTTCAATAAATTATCTGGCGCGGGGGGGGGGGGTTGGAAATGAGTAGAGTTTAACATTTTGTCATTGAACATCATCAACCCCACTATGCTCTATTATCCTCCAAAACGTTTGACAGCAGATGATGACACAAAAGTAAGCAGGTGGTCACCACAGTCGATGACGGGTCTTTCTCAATTTCGAGACGACTTTCTCAATTTTGCATCATCTGATAGAAGATATTCGGTACGTGGAAAATTGTAATCTGTTGCTTTCTTGTTACTGAAAGTGACAAACAAGTATTTTTAATGCATTCAAGTTTTAACAAATGATAGCAACAATTTTTTTGCAGATCTGCAAAGCCTTGAATGATGTCATCAATTTAGAATTGATATTTTGTGAAGATTTTATCAATTTGAAGGCTTTCTTATCGACGATTTGATATAGAATACCTTACTTAGTAATCAAAATACTTAAAAACATCTTTTATTACCAAAAAAAAATACTGAAACATTCAGAGAAATGTCATTTGTACTGTTTCATCATGAATTATGTTCAAATCCAGTGGAGCAAAAGATTTTCACTTGGAATAAGTGAATTGGAATGAAATGATTAAACTCAACAAATCTGCCACACAAGCATTAATAATACAGTACATTTTGTAATGATTCACACACACACATCGAAAACATGCTGAAGCACAAAGTAAGTAAAATAACCTGATTCACTTAGATAACGACCCTCAATGATCTGAATTTTTCTAGTAATCCAAGAGTTTGGTAAAAAAAAATCAAGCTGTGACAATGAAAACACACCAAATTAAAACTTTTTACATTCTCTTTTGAGTGGTATGCAGTTCTATGGTCCCAATAAGTGCCACAGAATGGTCAGAATAACCACTTATTGAATGAAGACTTTCCCAAAAAAAGTTGCTAAGCAACTGCATTGACTAAACTGCTGTTCTCCACAGTTGTTTTTAGGTATGAATGGGATGCAGGACCAGTATACAGAATGGTCAGAATAACCACTTATTGAATGAAGACTTTCCCAAAAAAAGTTGCTAAGCAACTGCATTGACTAAACTGCTGTTCTCCACAGTTGTTTTTAGGTATGAATGGGATGCAGGACCAGTATTTCAACTGGCATACTTCATGAGGGTTCACAAATTCCCAAAATTCTGAACAAGGGGGTGATAAGTGCACAAAAAAATTGATCATTTACATATATGGGGTATTACTCCACTCCTGAATCCACGCAAGCTTATTGGGTGCCAGTCTCATGTCTCCTGCTGTGACCCATTGCGTGCAAAAATGCTTTTTGTATGACATGATCGCGTGAAATCAGTTTCATTTATTAATGATCACAATGATGAGGTGGTTGTATACTTAACATGGTGCATTTTCTCAGTAACAGTGATATTTTTCCTCCTCCTTTGTATGACTGTGATTTTTGATGACTTCTGCTTATGATGATCAGGAAATGGGAACTTTATAAAAAAATTGACCAATGAGGTCAAAAGTGATGGCTGTCCATTATGATTAGCAATCTGTGCTGAAACTGCTTTTGAGAAATCCAGTCAACCCAAAGACATTTTGGTACTTTCCTTTTATCTCAGTACCCATTTTATTTGTCTCGTGAATTCAGTATTTGTTAGGTTAGGTTAGGTCAGGTTATGTTAATTGAAAGATATTTGTAACTAACATAACCTGACCTAACCTAACTTCACCTAACCGCCTCCCAAAATCAGTTTCTTGTTAATTGAAAGATATTTGTAACTAACAAAACCTGACCTAACCTAACTTCACCTAACCGCCTCCCAAAATCAGTTTCAGCAGAATTCGGAAAAATGAAATTCACAGTTTCTGGTAGGTGCACGGAAAGTAGGTACTGAGATAACAGGAAACTCAGGGCCGGCGCGACCGTATGTGCAGGTTGTTCACCGCACAAAGGCGCCCTCATAGGGGGGCGCCAAAATGGGGTTTGGACCATTCGAAATTTGCAGCACCTTCTATCATCTATTGGGTAGTAATTCACCCCCATTTTTATGCGAATACATGGGTCTGTAGTGCTCATAGTTGGGCACCACCTAAGAAATAGGAGATGTAAACCTTACAGGCAAATTCTTGTTTATAGGTGCCCTCTTTATCTTGGTGATTTTTTTCTTTTTTTGCAAAAGGCAGCAGGCCATTAACTGATTGTGCAAATATGGCCCTAAATTTTCCAAAATTTCTCATTAAAAAACCAAGCAAAGCAGAAGTATTAAAAATAATTCATCTTTAAATTATATCATAATTCAAATGAGTTTTGGTATTGCCCAGTGGACTGATACCCAAACTAACATATTTAGTTCATCAACAGCATGCACACCATTTTTTTCAGAAACCAATAAGTAGAAAAATGGGGCGCTCATTTTAATTTGGTTCAAACTTGAATAAAACACTCTTATGCAAGTCATGCATGAAAAACATGAGATGATTCAATTATTAAAATCAAAATTTCAAATGAATGAATATGAATCAGTCACATACAGTATCACTGTAAATTATAATGATTTCTTCCCAATTCCTTTTTACCCAGCTTAGCTAAAATTCTGTACAGGAGACTAAAATTTAACCAAATTCAATAAGTTGCCATGATGCACAGAAGATAATTTTGAAAACTGTTGACAAACAAATGCTGCATAGTTGAAATTAGCTCGAGAGGAATTTGGACTCAAAACCCAAATTTTGTGAATGCTGCATGCCTTCTCACCTCTGCAGAAAAAATTTCTCAGCACACTCCATTCAAAATAATGTGAAGATCAGATTTTTTTAGCTAACACTAAAATTGACAGCTTTTGTATAATACTTCCCAGTATTACTGTTTGAATGGCCTTGTCCATACCAGGAATAACACAATTTTAAAGGTATGCAAGTTATAGAGGAGGGAAATCTTCAAGGGTTTCTTTCTCATGGGTACACTTCTGCTTGTACAAACTTGCTTCCAAAAATTTGAATTATGCTTGTGGGGCACAGAGAACATGTTCCACGGAATAACAAGATTACGCGCAATAAGAAATAAATAAGATCAAGAATGCAAGGAATGCAGACTTTATGCGGTAACGGGGAATTCCGTTGGAAGTCCCCGCTGCCGTGAAATTGCGCAATACGGATTCTTCCGTTCCCTCATTGCGTAACGATTTCATTATTCAGTTTGTAGATCTCGAAGCGTTCGGTTGCATTGAGAATTGAGAATTGTGTTCATTTTATTCGTCTGTACTGATTTGCATTTTCATCCTTAGTCATTCTTGTGTTTTTTAACTCTTTCTGCTCGAAATACAATTTATCCTGTCCTTTGAAGATTCCACCGAGAATCTTCATGCCGTGTTCCCCGGCGGATTGTGAATTCTATTTATTTATTCAAACTTCGAGTTATTTGCATTCTTTGTGGGCTCATTGCCCTACAAAATTGGTAGCAGAGCGTAGTTTATGCTTTTTTTTCGTTTAAGAAATCTTAAACTTAAATAAAAGAGAAAAAACCTTAGATTAATTTCATCTATCTCATTGTAACAAGAAAAGTAATTTAATAATCTAAAAATAAAAGTTTCATCAGCCCCGTTCAGTTTTATTCGTTAGAGAATTAATTAATTGAAGTCGTGCAAACTCAATCTTTAAGACTAAGATTAAAATTTAAATCCTTTAATATTGTCTCGCAACAACCTATCAACTGCGTCAGAGAAACACCATCAAGTCTTCACAAACAAGCCTACGTCAGCGACGGATTCGGTCTTCGCTTTCAACAGAACCAACCTACAACACCAAAATGG